ACGCATCGCCTTTAGGTCCATAGCATTTTGGTACATAGAGGCATGAATCTCGTCTAATTCGTCTCGCTGCATTCGTGGTGCAACTCTACGGGTTTCAGGGGCTCGCCGTCTCTCCCCGCGGAGGCGTTCTTCCTCTTCGGCGAGCTCCTCGGCATTCTGCTCATCTTCAGAGTAATAGGTTTGTCCCGCAGTCGCCTGTCCAGGTTCGTCGGGGTTATCCTCTTCAGCGTCATCTTCCAGATCGACCACCGATGTTGGCTTGTGAGCTGGTGCCGAACCGCCTGTTGCTAGCCGATCCGCCAAGCCTACTGCTGATGCCGAACCACCAGCTGTCGCCTTGCCTTTGTTTATGTCTCGTCCTCCGCTTCNGGGAGTCNGCTCGGNGTTTAGATCGAGCAGACNACGTCGACGAATTCTCTGCNCCTCTGANGGCNTGGAGAAGTTAAGCGTTGTTGGGGCGACGCGATCCATGACTTGGCGCGTGAATCCTGTTACTTTTCTGTGGCCCGTTGCGGTTAGGGAGTCNATTCGGTGCTTCATCATACTGTTGAAGGTGTCTTGCTCCTTTGACTTCCTAAGNATTTCTTCGAACATGCCTTGTATCCGAGCCAGCTGAGCCAAAGTCCTAGGAGTTTCCTCCGCGGTGGGCGTTGTCTNCTCTTTGGTGGATGTGTCCCCTGCAGTGTTCTTTTCTACTGTCTTGTCTTGTGCAGAGTTCTTCGCTGCGACTGCGTTTGCCGCGAGTTCTTTTGCGTCGCTGCTGTTATTGACGCGGTTGTCGCTGGTGTTGTCGATGCGGTTGTCGCCGGTGTTGTTGCTCCCGGCNATGTCTCTCACGAGGTTTGCTGCTGCGTCTTTGTCAGCGTGTTGCCGTACTGGTCAGTCATCGTGCTTAGGTTGCTTGCCGAGTGATTCCTTCGAGTAAGAAGATCTCAAGTCCCCTTAGTCGGCGCCAAACTGTGGACGGCGGATCCTACACAGTTGAATTTGTCAAGGGTTGAAAAGAGAGCTGAGTCTTCTGAGTATGAATCACAAAGCAAAAGTTGAAGATATGTTTTATTGCTGTTTCTGTTAAGCTCTGGTTACAAATGAATCGATCCCCTTTTTGGGAGATGATAATGAACTATATATAATACTTCTAAGTAAAATGGGCCAGCTAATAAATGGGCTTGGCCCATTGAGCAATATATTAAAATTAGGCCCATTACTCCATTAAGCCCATTTTTGT